GAGAGGGGCCCTGCTGTGTGCTGTTGATATATATAGCAGGATATGTCTCCCTAATATTTTTAACCCCCTGGCTCTCTGTAGTGCCAGCTTGATAGGTGACTGCAAGCAGGCTCACTCCTCCCAGCCTCTTTCCCCTCCTGGCTTTTGCTCTTCAACTTTGAGTTAGGGCATCTTTTTATTGAGGCCGGTGCATGGGATTTACAAACACGAGAGGCGTGGGCAGCAGTGGGTCTCCCTCCATGGTCAGTGCCAGCGTGTCCTGGGGGCCTGTGCTGTGTGTGAAGGAGAGCAGCGCTGCTGTGAGCTGAGCTGAGCTGAGCCAGCCACGGCCAGCTGGGAGAGGGGCGTGGAGCCTCCCCAGTGCTGCAGCCCATCTCCTCTGCTTTCAGGAGCTCCAAGGCCCTGCCAAGCGTGGACCAGAGGGTGAACTCACTTTTATTGTTCACGTAAACACACTGGTCTCATTCAGTCCTTTGGGGATGCCACCATAATCCAGAGAAGTAACTAGGAACGGGAGGAGTCTTGGCCATGATGGTGAAGCCAGTATGGAAGGAATATCCTGGAAACTGAGGAACACGGTGCTGATAGTGCTTCCTAACATGGCAGAGACACTGTGGGACTGTGCTGCTCCTATGTGGCAGCAGGGACAGCCCTAAGTCCCTGCTGCTGGCCTCCATAGTGGTGCTGAGTGCGAGTCCAGGTGGGGAGCGGGATGGGGAACCCACCTGGCAGCGTTCATCAGCAGAAAGCCTGGCTCAGTGGCTGGGCTGGGGCAGGCATGGGGGTTCAGCGGGGGCAGAGGGGTTGAGGGATAGGCACAGGGGTTCTGGGGTAGGCAGAGGAGTTTAGGGGCAGGCACAGGGGTTCAGGGACAGCAGAGGGGGTCACTGCCAGGCACAGGGCTTCAGAGAAAGGCAGGCACTGCTGGAGCTGGGAGTTCTGCCAAAGAAACACACATGCGGCTGGAGCCCGGTGTTCTCCTTCTTTCCCCTCCTTCTTTAGGGTTTTTTTTAACTTGAGGTTACAGGCATTGTTCCTTCTGATGGTTATGGTTTTACGGTATAGCTCCAGGATGCGACTCCCTAATATTTTACGCACACGCGCACACACACGACTGCCCGTGAAACTTCGGGTGAGGAACCCGCGGCCGCGCAGCTGCGAGGGTCTCTGGATCACTCGCTGTCGCTGTGACGCTGGGGGCTAGATTTGGTTGCCGGTTCCCTTTGAAGCGCCCGGGCCGGGAGCGCGTCCGGCCCCGCGCGGTCCCGTCGCGGCGGGCGGGGCGGGGCGGGGCGGGGCGGGGGGGGCATGCAGGCGCGGGCGGGCCGGGGCAGGCGGCGGAGCCGGGGCGCCCCGAGCGCGCCGCGCCGGGCCGGGCTTAAAGAGCGGCGGCGGCGCGGCTCAGGTACGGACCTTCCTGCATCCCTCCTTCCCTCCCTGTCTGCGCTCCGCGCCTCCCCGCGGGGCTCGCCCACCAGCGGGGCAGCGCCTTTCCGTTCTTTTTGTTCTCGCCGGTCGACTGGCTTTTTTTATTTTTTTTTTCTTTTTGCTGTTGTTGTGGTTTGGGATTTTTGATTTTTTTTTTTTTTTTTTTCCGTGCCCGCCCGCTCCGGCTGCGGGGCGGCAGCCGCGCTCCGAGCGCCGGCAGAGGCGCGGGCGGGAGGCTCCCTGGCAGCCTCCCTGACCGTGTCCCCTCGCTGGATGGAGCCCGGGGCTGCCGGGGATGCGGTGCCCGCCGCGGGGGCTGGCGGAGCGGCTTGAGCCCCCCGCCCGGCGGAGGCGAGCATGTCCAGTGAGCGGCTTAACAAGACAGCGGTGAAGGATGCGCGGTTAAAAGATCTGTTGTTGGAAAGAGGTACCGGCGCGTCCGCAGGGGCAGGGACCGCGGGATGCGGCCCGCGGCACCGCAGAGCCCGGAGCGCTGGCCGGCGGAGCTGCGGGGGGAGGTTCGGGGTGACGGTCTGGTGTGATTGCTGACAGGGTCGTAAATTATGTCTCTCTTTTTCGAGCTCTTCTGAGAAGGTAATTTGATTCAACGTGTTGCCTTTTCCGTGTTGGGCGTTTACCCTGAAGGTTGTGTTTGGTTTTAGGGTTTTTTCCCCTGGAGAATTTTTATTAGAAATGTTTCTTGCGCGTAAAGAAGCTTATATATGCGAGTGCGACAGGCTCGGGGTAGTAAAACCAAAGCTTTTCTCTTCCTGAAGCTTTGCCCGGTTTCTTTCCCAGTCGATTTAGGAAGAGTGGGGAGGAGGAGATGCCTGTCTGGGAGGCGGTGGCCCTTCACGCCTGGCAGGTGTTGGGCAGGGGACATGATGGGGGCCGGGGTGACCCAGTGCCTGTCAGCAGCCGCTAGGAACTATTTAAATGGCCTTGGTCAGTGCCAGCAAATACAGACTGCTGCTGCTGCAGTCTGCCTTTGCTTTTTACTGCTAATAACCTAATGAACAGCAGGAATGTCACTCAGGAGGAGGAAGCAATTTAAAATTATCTTTCTTTTCCCCGTGCTTTCCATTAAGGAAATCCTCTTGAACATCAGTAAGGTGTTTGTTGCAGTTTGGTGTTTACACTGTAAACTGAATGTGGGAAATCCCATGTGCTCACAGCTGTGTGCTGTGGTTTTTATTTTCTTTATTGTATGGCCATATTTTAATAAAACATTTTCAAATTATTCCCTCCCACAGGAAGTGCTCACAGACCAAATCACTCCTCTCTAAGGGAGAGGTACTGTCCCTCGCCACTGAAATGCAGGGGTCTTGATAAATTTAGAAGACTCTGTCCTTGGCAAATAGAGAAGTAACATGTCATTCTAGTGATCTGTGCATTCTAGGAAAGCCTAAATAAACATTGGTTGTTTTGTGTGTTGCCCTTTAGCAACAATCTCTTAATTTCCAGTCTAAAGTGTGACATGGGCCCAAAAAAAGTTTGGATAAAGAAACCCTTTAGTGCTTCAGTTGCCGCAGAATGTGAATTGCAGAAGTTGTCAACTGTGTGAAGTCTGTGTTCAGTGTTTCTGAGCCAAGAAAAACCAAGACTTTTAACTTAACTGTGGTTTGGGTGGGTTTAGTTTTTAATTAATTCTGTTCTTCCGGCATTGTGATCTTTTGCTGCAGACATTGTTAGCTTCCAGTGATTTTTTTTTTTTTTTGAAACTCGTTTCGCCCCGGGCGCGGAGCCCGGCGGGACCCTGGTGTCCGTGCGTGCGCGCACACGCGCGGCCGGGGCACGGCGGGGCGGGAGCGGCCGGTGCCGGCCTAATTCTGTTCTTCCGGCATTGTGATCTTTTGCTGCAGACATTGTTAGCTTCCATGCAAGAGGGGAAAAGGAAAGATCATTGCCCTGTGTGTGGGGTTGATAGCAAAAGCAGAGCACAAAGCACTGACTAACCAAATTCTTTGAAAATGTTGGTGGTCTTAATGATGAGTGGAAAGTACTTAACAGCAAAGAGTGATAAAGTGATAGACATATTTTTGCCCTTTACCCTTTCCTTAGTCTTAAGTAGGCTTAGTTCCTCCTCAGGAGATGATTGCAGACCCTCTGCACTTTGGTGCTGTGGCTGTGCCTGCCGGTAGCTTGTGGCAGACAGCTGGACCTTGGCACCAGCCCCAGCTGGACACCAGCACACTTGCTGCTCCTGTACTCTGAGGTTTTGTTTGCAAGAGATGGTAGATTAGTGAAACCGCCTTGGGTTTCCTTTAGATCCACTGCAGGTTCATCTGGATTTTATGTTTGAGTGGCGTTTTTCTAGCTCAGCTTCGCAGTTGTGTTGTGTCTGCACAAGTGTTCTGCTGTCACACAGAAAGCTGAGCATGGCTACGAATTAGAGATGGGGGGGAAGGGGCTTGTTTTCTGATATTTGTTCTGTCCTTTCATTTTCATATGGCATCTCTCTTTCCTCATTAACTTTTTAAAAAGTAAAAAATGTAGTATCAGTTCCCCAAAGTTCCTGGTTGTGCGTCCAAAAAGTAGTGCCCTTTTTGGAAAGTACTGAAACTGAGCAACTTGGGCTGCTTCTTTGCTTTTTCTACCAGCCTAGCAACCAAAGACCTCCTCCCATTAACTGGAGTTGTCTTTCAAGATGAGAGCATCCCCTGTGAGCAATGCAGTTTCCATAGAAATATCATCAACTAGGTAACTGCGAAGGGCAATTTTCCCCCTTATATTGCTCATCCTTGCTGCTCCAGTATAGCCAAAAGGGTGCAAGAGTGACTCATTTCTAAATATACTTAATATTTGTGGTATAGGCAGGGCTTCAGATAAGATGATGGGTTCTGATGGAGTTCATTGTAATTGTATCTCTTGCAACAACCAGGGCCCTGGTTTCATTTTTAACCGTGATGGAACATCTCTTGTTTTAGAGTACCAGAGCTCTTTTTAGATTTTTACCTGACTGGGAAAGGCCTAGTAAAGTTAGCATTACACTAGTTGGAGAGAAGGTGGTAATTGAAAAAGACACTGCATGTAGATTCAATAGGCTTAAGGTTTTCCATTCTAGTTAAATAGCTTTCATGCTCTTTACTTAATAAAAAAATTAAAGGTAGTGTACTAAATAATCAGTGTCCTGATTCCTCTTGGGCTTTGAAGCTTATGGAGCCCTCTGGACTCTGTTGATATTACAGGTGGCTGTTAAAATAGAATGGGGTTTGTGTGTATGAGGTTTCTTCGGTTTTTTGTTCAGTGAAATTGTTTTGTCCAAAAGGTTCATCTGTGGTGTTTGTGTTGAAGAGTTTATTTCCTGTGGAGGCTGCAGAGAAGGATCATCAAGAAGCTTCTTAGTTTTGACCTACAGCCACTGATGCTGATAAATTTGCTCTGGCAAAAATGAAATAATTTTCATACTTTTTAGAACAGTTTTCATCACAAAACTTTGCAGAATGGACAGCAAGAGTATCTCAAGCCAGATCAGTCTCAGAGAAATATTGAGGGTCTTTTCAGGTTGTTGCTTTGATGGTTAACCTTCTATGTGTTGATGACACATTTTCCTCTTTTTTTCTTTGTTTTAGCTGAACTGGAGTTTGTTCAGATCATCATTATAATCGTGGTTATAACTGTTATGGTGGTAGTGATCATCTGCTTGTTGAACCATTACAAACTCTCAACACGCTCCTTTATCAACCGACAGAGCCAAAGCAGAAGACAGGAGGAAACTCTGCAGACGGTGAGTGTGAGCCCCTTGCACCAAACTCCTTTTCCTTGGGCTGTATGGGCCTGCAGCAAAGCCTCCTGATGAGCTCTGGTACAGGAAACTGCTGGAAAAACTTCTGATATCACTTTTAATACTCCCTGTAGTTAGATCTTTTGCCAAAGTTGTATTTGTCCATAGAAAACAAATTTGGAGCACAAATGTAAGGTATATGGTCTTCAGTTATTTTTAGACCCTGCTATGTTTCATGTAGCCTATATTCATTTTGCATTTGGAGGCTTAGATGGGACATTGTGTTTGCTGCTGCTGTAATTTGAGAGGGGAGTGTGGCGGGGGAATGAATGGAGTTAGCTGGGCTGCAAAGATTTGAAATACACATTGTTAGGACTTTCCATATATTGTCTGATATCCTGGGGTTTTATCGCTGTTACTGTTTTGTGATGCTGCCATGGCTCTTCTCTGGATCAAAACCTCTGTCCCATTAAGGGCCCAGGAAAATGCAATGTTTGTTTCACTAAAACAGCAAGAAGAGACTAGAAAAAGGATCTTTCCAAGGACCTGGCTTGTTTAAGATGTGTTGTTACAGAGTCGAAGGCTTGTGATGGAATCTCAGTCAGTACTTGTTAAGAGTGTGTTTAATCAACCCATCAGTAAACGAACACCTCATTTGCCTTGTGAGCCAGGAGTTTGCTGGGTGGGATGCTCTACTTCCTTGTGAAGGTGAAGCACACCTGACCTTGGGATATCCCCCACAAGCCACACAGTGTCCCGTGGTATTGCAGGGAGGTTCTTCCTTCTGATGCGCTTTTCCCAGAGTGGTGCCCTTGGCCTCTTTGCTGACAGCGATGGCCAGAGGGCCATTTATGAAGTCACCTTTTGATGCATGGAATTCCTGGTAACAGTGCTGAGTTCACAGCTTCCTTTTGCTGTCAAAAAAGTTGGATTGTAACTGAGATGTGATCGTAATGATTTACACCAGTTCTAACACCACAGTCTCACCTTTTTATCCATTCCAGTCTTATGTTTCTTCCCTCTTTGTGCTCCTTAGGGAGCTGTCAGGGTAATGGTGAGAGGCCTCAGGGGACTGCTCTGGCTGAACACTAATTGCTGGCTTTTTGCTTTTGCTTTTTTTGTTATGGTTAGATTTCAGCAGGGGAGGCAGAGATGCCACGGGGCTGCTGTGCAGCTTTCTCCCTGGCAATTGGCAGCTCCTTCCTGAAAGTCAGCTGTACAATGTGGCGATGCAGGGCTCCCAAAGCTCTCTCTTAGTACATCACCTGTGCCATTTTGCTGGGGTGAATTGCTCTTTCCTTGGAGGGGGAGGAAAGGAGCTGCCTCCTTAAGGAGAGGCTGCCTCATTGCCTGGCACTTCGCTAGTGTATGAATGCTTAGCTCTAATTTGGTTACAGATGAAACTGGAACTTGTCAAACCTTAACCTCATGGACTTGAGGACTGGAAAAATTGACTAGATTAATTTGAATGTTGCTTTGAAATGGACACTGTAATTCAAGTACCACAATTCTGTCTGAAAAATGTTAGCTATAATTGCTACAGATGCCTAAAATGAAATAGTTGGAGATAAATGAAATGCATTTTCATCTTCACAAATCTTTTTAAACTGTAGTAAGCTGTCAAATGCATGAAATAACCCATTATTTCCTTTGTATGGTTCATTACTATTGTCTGTTATCAGAGCCAGTGGGGGTTTTTTTTTTTTCTCTTGGGCACAAGGGAGAAAACTTCACCTTCTTGTGAAGAAGAACATGCAGTTTGGCAGCAGGGACTTGGGAGCTGCTTTAGTACCCAGAACTGAACTTAAATAATTTTTAAAACACTGACTCAGTTTCAGTTTGATGTCACCATTATAAGTAATGATAATCACAGCCAAGTGAGCACTTCATGGGAATTGATGAGGGGATGGCAAGAATCAGTTACTAATTCCTCTGAAAGCCTTTGGTATAGATTTGTCATCACTATTACTCATCTGAATTTCTGATAAGCTGCAACTCTTCTTAGAAGAAGGTAATGCTTGTGGGGAATGGGGATTTACAGGTCTCAGAGTTCAGATGTCAAAAACTTTGAATTTTCTATTGTGTCACGTGTTAGAAGGAAATTCTGGTAGAAACTGGCTGTGCAGTGCAAACCTTGAAAGCAATGTGCAGAGAATGAGGGTCAGAAAACTAAAGTAAGTGCTCTGTGGTGAGAAACTGCAAATGACCAGTCTGTTCTCACTGTCCACAGTGGAGTGGCTTGCACAAGATAATAGATAGTGTGAGTGGTGAGATGCAGGTTATACACTTCTAAAATTAATTTTTTGTACCAGGCACGCTTTGTTCTGTGTGCAATTGCTATCCAAGTGTATTTTCTTGCAAGGGAATATTTTTTTAATGGTATATAGACTCTGAAAACAGATATAAATGTTTGTTAATCACTAATGTCTGAAGAAAATATTATTGTGACTTAAGTCTTTTTTTTTGGTAGAGAAATAGTGAATGGAAATAGAGGAAATTCAGACATGTTTCTTGAAAGAAAATGGTAAAGCAAATTATTTGACTGTTGGCTAGTTCTGTAGTGAACTGAAGTGTAACTCTCATGTAACTGAGGTAGCAGAGGTGTATAAAAATGTATCCTGTTCAGATGATGCCTTTTTTTTTTTTTTTTTTTTTTTTTTTTTTTTTTTTTTTTTTGGTCCTTTTGTTACCTTCACTTTTTCTTTAAGCCTTTCCTGTTTCTAGATAATCATGCCTTCCACCAGCTAAGTGGTGGCTGAACTGCACAGGTTTCTGGCCTGGTAAAGACCATGATCTCTCTCTTATTCTGGTTCTCCTACAGAGTGTAATAGGAGTGATCAGCTAAATTACCTACTGCCTTTATTACCAGCCTCACGCCTGTAAAATTCATGGGTTAGGCATCAGAAGTAAGGAAATGAAAGGTATTACTGAATTTCTTTTTCTGGTTGAACTTCTTCGTGGTTATACCAAAAACTAAAAACAAAAAAAAAAAAAGCAAAAAAACCAAAACAAACAAACCCCCCAAAAAACCCCCAAACAAACAACCCAAAAGCAACCAACCAACCAAACAAACAAACAAAAAAAAAAGCCCCAATCAAACACCCTCAAATAAAACATAAGAGGATGATAATGAAAATTTCAATTTCCAGGCCAGATGGAAGTCAACTTTCCAGTCAGAAATTAGAATATTAAAAAGATGAAATCACTACAATCACAAGTGTTAACACTTGAAGTAATTTGAATTAATGTTTGAAGTGCAGAAAAAGGACCAGTCATAGGAAAAAAAGGCTGCTCTTCGGCAAGTGCACGTTAAATGTTTTTGTTTGCCTGTTCTGTAAATGCAGTTTTCTGTTCTTTATATTTTTTCTTTATTTTTCTTTTCATTCCTCTGGAGTGTCATCTTCCAGTCTTTCCCCTGGTCTTTGGTATTTTATTACCTTGGTTATTGGGCCAAGGCCTTAAGCAGATCACAGCCAAGGGCAGGACAAACGCTGAGTGCTCAGGAGCAGTGGGTGCTTCTGCTGCAGTGCTGAGGATGCTGCCTGCCCTCTGCTAGTGAGGCCATTAAGCATTCCAGCCTTGTTTTTACATTAGCAGAAATAAGAGTTTTGGGGTCCTAATTATGAGAGGTGGAAAGATGCTGAGCAATAACCATGTTGGCATGAACAGTAGCCTGGAGTGAGCCTGCAAGGTGCTGAACAGTGTTTGTATGACAATGGATAAAATACTGAACATTTCCTCCTGCTGGCTTATCCATCTGCAGTGTTGGGCTTCACAGCTGGGAGCAAGCCAAGGGTTGCAGAACACCTGAGAGGGATGCAAAAGCCGCAGGGTGTGGAGTATACCAGGAGCTTGCCCAGGGGCTGCTTCACTTGGAAACAGCAGAACCTCTGGTGTGGGAGCTACTGATGCTACTGGCAGTGCTGGGGGATTTTGGAGCAGAGCCACGTGGCAGCCCTGGAAGGGCACATGTGTGCACAGGGTGTGTGTGTCTGATGCCTTAGGGGAGATTTGTGTTGCAGTGTTGCTGGCTGTGCCTTTGTTGACCTGGTGTGGGGAGGGGGACACTATTCCTGTTAAACAGAAGTGTCCTGCTGGAATGTAGGTAGCTGCAGCTGAGCTGCTGCTGTGGCACTTTGCTGTTTGCTGGGACCAAACAAATATAAATCTTGCTTCCCAATGATTAGCTCTTAATGTCATCACCAGTGATTTCCAGGGGGACATTGAGGGGAAAGAGATTAACTGACTTACAGAGGTACTTAATGAGCTTCTGATGTTCCTAATTTCATTCCTTTTCCCTATCCTGGTGTCTTTGCATTGTTTTCTTTTATAAAGTAGATGTTGAATGAGTGCTGAACACTTGTACTGCCCCAGGCCTACTCCTGGCAGCAAATCCTTGCATCCATCACACAAGATGCTCACCCTGACCAGCCCCTGCCTCCCAGCACCAAGGGCAGCATTGCTGCTCAGGCTGGTCAGCTTGCATTAGAACCTGCGTTGGGAATGCCAGTCTTGGACGCCGAGCTCCAGGAGCACAGCTGTGAAAAATACTCCTCTCTGCCCTGTACCAGCTATTTCAGAATAAAAGGGGAACGTCAGGAGGGTGACAGAAAATACTCAGTAATATTGACAACTCAGGGATTTGTCATTATTTCAAATGTTAGTCTTTCCTGCTGGTCTTTAAATTATTTCCTACTGGCATTGGCATTATTCTGTCTGTTCCCTGCTGGTGTCCCTAGGCCACTCATTCTCATTTTCTTACTGACATGTGCAAAAGAAAGAAAATCCCACTAGGAACAGGAACCCAGTCTACAGCCAGAAGAGAGTGTGAGTGCTGTAGACCACCCTTCTTTGCCAAATCTTTTTGTTTGTACCAGTCATCATTTGGCAAGGGCTGGATGTGCTGTCTCCTTCAGGGACATGGGCTTGCTTCTCCTCAGGGAGTGCTGCCAAGAGGGACAGCGAGCTCGGCTGCTGCTCTTTGAAGTCTCCCACAGTAAAGT